TACCTACCTATTGCAAAGCTTCAGGTCTGCGGGGAATGTTCATTTTCGCTCCAGTCCCGTCCCCGGGTCCCACCTCCTGGAACAATAATGGGTGTCAGGTAGAGTATGGAGGAGATAGGATTAAGCTATCACCCCCCCTGTGGTGTGTTAATTTATTGCTTCAGACATTTTCATATCTGATTCATTTTCACCCACTCCGCTGCGGCTGCACAAAGTTCTCAGGCTCTGCCGGTCCAAGTGGCCCTGGAGTGTGAATCCTTGGCACCAGGAAATGGCTTTCTTCACAGCACACGCGCAGGTACGACCCTCGGAGGGTACAGCTGTGCTCGCCCCCAGAGCAGGGAATCGCTGTGGCCCCCGGCGCATGCGCCGACCCAGGCACGAGGCTTAGGTGTGACCCCAGCCCCCAAAAGAGGGGCTTTTTAGTAAACAAGAAAGGAAATTGTGCTGCCGCCCCAGCTCCCAGTGCTAGACGTCTTTAGGAAACGGTGTGATTTCCTCGAGAAAAATACAGGGTCACAGCTGCTTGGAATTTACATCAAAAATACCATTTTTGTTCTGCAAAGATGAACCTGCTGGAGAGGTGTTTGTTTCTGTCTGCAGAGGATGCCCCCGTGCTTCTGTCTCTCTTCAGCTTTGCCCCAGGCGCAGCTGGCTGTGTGTTTGGGGTGGGGGCAGGCAGACCTCCCAGGAGTCCAGACAGGGAGGACTTGGGGGGGAGACGGAGCTGTGCAGGGTTATTCTGCTCCTCTCAAAATTCCTCTAGGCTGATGTTAAAAGAAGACTTCATCTGGACAGCTCCGTGGGGCCCGCGAAGGAGGAGATGTTTGCAAACGAGAGAGGCGGGTGGAGCCCAAGTCAGAACCCAGGGAAGCATCAGGAAGCCATCTGTGTCTTTAGGAGGACCAAGGGCACTTCCTGTCTGCCCACCTCCCTTTGCGCGCATCTCCCAGGGGGAAAAAACAAAAAAGCCGAGTTTCTGATAAAAGCAGCTGGTGAGGCTCCTGGGCGAAGGGAGAGGCCTCTGCTCCCCGCCCTCTGCAGAGGTGGGCGACGCACGGCTTCCGAGGATAATCACAGGGACGAGGCTTCTTTCCATCAGCACCCCTCTCTTTACAGACTGAGCTTACAGCTCACCTGGGAGAGCTAGGCAGAAAACCTAGCTTGGTTTTATATCGAAGCCTCTTACTTAAAAAGCTGGCAGATAACTGGAGCAAATTTTTACTTGTTTTCCTTCGATGAACAAACACAAACCCTCATCGTTCTAGGAGCAGTGGTGACCGCATGGCTTGGGGGTATCTTTGGGTCTTCCTCTTGGGCCACTGGTTTGAAAACTCAGGCCACGGCTTTTATTAGCACACGTGTCTGACTTGCTAGTTAGGAGGTAATTGCCAAGTCACATGTCAGGAACACAGACCAAGTGCTGTCTAACATGATGTGAAAACAAAAAAGGCCTCAGAAGCCCTGTTTTTGGTGGTGGTTATTAAAATTCCAAAGGTCCTGTGAGTATGGTGATGGCAGGGCAGGTGCCCAGGTCCAGGGCGCAACGCACAAGAGGGAATATATACATGTAAGATACATATATCTGGCATCTATGAGAATTTAGGTCTTGCATAAAGCAAGCATTTAGAAAGTAACCAATTATCAAAGAATGAAATGCAATTCATATGGGGACCCACGGCCTTCAGATGAGCTGTTTAAATGCCTTCACTCACTGGTCCAGGCCAAGGTAGATCCAGAAGTCCTCTCTTCAACTTTATTGAATTTCTACGAAGATGGCAGGCGAAAGTGCTCTTTAACACTTATCAATTGGATTTATGATTTCTGTGTCATCCACCCTGTTTCTGACACTAGGAAATATTCAACACGAGGGAATCACTCAACGACTTTTTTTTAAAAAAACTACACTATAAAACATTTCAGTCTTTTCTCTTTCTGAAATCCATAAATGGCTAATTTAATCTCAGTCACACAACTGGAATCCATGAGTTTCATCTGTTAATTATCTGGCAGTGTTTTGATGTTTTAAATCATGATGATATAGCATGTGGCCAGGACCCCAGCTTTCACGGTGGAGATTGACTCTAGCCGGAGGCCCTGGGCTTGTCCTGGCTTTTTCGGTAAAAACATAACATCTTTACCTTGGAAGCTGCAGTGTAGATGAGGCCGCATTTTCTGAATGCTGTTTCCACATCTGAAAGAATTAGAAAGCCTTGCAGCCACCAAGCCGAGCCTGCGATCGGGAGACTCAGAGCACATTGATCACCCATAGAGTTTGGGAACTAACTGTGAGATGCCCCCAAAATGTTAAAAAAGGCAACTTGTATAGAAAGGATTTTTAACAATATTCAAAACCAGTTGTGCATTTTTTTTTCTCTGTTGAAGAACTCTCCTTAATCATCTCTCTTTGATTTTACAGCTGGAATAAAGGAGTCAAAAATAGTTCACTGCCGTTTTTCAGCCTTTCAAAATTTGATAACAAGCTCAATTTCAGCATTTGTAACAAAGATGGCTGTGTTGATTTTTGGCCTTTTGGAGGTCAGATGGGTGGTGTGACTCGGGAGGGGAGGAGAAGGAGCCAGATATTTGTGCGTGTGTGTGTGTGTATGTAAATCCATCTTTCTCACTCCCTCTCGCTCCTCTCTCCAGCTAATTAACAGCACGCCTGTTAGCCGGCTATATTTTATCTGCGACTTAGGGGCTTGCTGCGGTTTTCCGGGAGGCTGCTGCTGATGGAGCCGAACGTCTGTGTGTCTGGTTACGAGGCAACGGCTCAGCACAGCGGGGCCAGCCTGTGGTACCTCGCGTATCCACTGTGCGTTGGCCCTGGATGTTTCATTTCATATATCATTCCCAACTCGCAGGGCTGTTTCCTGAAGTCAAATAGCCCTCTCCTTCATGCCCATTCTCACAAATCATTTTGTAATCCAACTCCCCAAGCCGCGTGAGGACCAGGCAGGGCAATAGAAGGCATAGTGGCGGGGACCAGCCAGCCCGGATGTGGAGGAATGTCTCAGCTCCCTACCTGCCAGCACGGGCACACCACGGGCCACCTAGGCTGGGCTGTCGTTTTAATTTTTCATCTCAACGTGACTGCGGAGGCGGGGGGATGTGGGCTCAGTGGGGCCCCTCTGTTTTAGCCTCTGGATCTCTGGCTTGGGAGCTCAGCTTTACTACAAAGCTTTGGGCTTATTTGGGCCTCAAATCCAAAAATAAAGTTCAAACCGTCAGATGGCAAGATAGACCACCTAGACAGACACCCCCCTAAAAACAGTGCCTGCTGCTGTCACTAACTAGTTCTTGGCAGGTTGTCACCACTGCCCCGGGGCTGTGAGAGAAGTGGTGGCCGGACCCCAGGAGAGGGTTTGTCATGGGCTCTGGGAGTCAGCCACTGTCTGCCATCTTGGAGGCTGCAGGTAAGCTCCTGCCTGAGCTCAGAGCTGGACGGCCAGACATCCACTCCTGTGCGGGCTCGGGGATGCTCTGGGCAAGGTTACACGGCTCAGTTCCTCAGTCGTGTCTGACTCTTTGTGACCCCATGGTCTGTAGCCTGCAAGTTTCCTCTTCCCTGGGGTTCTCTAGGCAAGAATACTGGAGTGGATAGCCATTCCCTTCTCCAGGGGATCTTCCGGAGCCGGGAAATGAACCTGCACCTCCTGTATGGCCTGCCTTGTAGGCAGATTCCTTACCCTGAGCCACCTGGGATGCCCATGGGCAAGGTTAGCTCCTCTTTTTCTGTATTTATTTTTAATCCAGTTAATTCTGAAGGAAATCAATCCTGAATATTCATTGGAAGGACTGATGCTGAAGCTCCAGTACTTTGGCCACGTGATGGGAAGAGACAACACATTGGAAAAGACCCTGATGCTAGGAAAGATTGAAGGCAAAAGGAGAAGGGGGCGACAGAGGGTGAGATGGTTAGATAGCACCACCAACTCTGGACATGAGTTTGAGCAAACTCCAGGAGATAGGGAAGGACAGGGGAAGCCTGGCGTGCTGCCGTTCATGGGGTCACAGAGTCAGACACGACTCAGCGACTGAACAGCAACAGTAATTTGTTTTTAGTATTCTGAACATATTTTTTTAAAAGAAGTATTGGGAAGAAAACACAGCAGAGTGAGAAGATGAGCCTTACTCACCCTCTCCTACCATCATATATTAATAACTAGTCACACAAACATCTGTAATTGCTAAGGCCTCCATCATTCACTGACACTGGGGAGTCCACGGTACTCAAGGAGCTTAAACACGACGTGTCACGCTAACCCAAGTATGCCAAATACAGAAGATATTTATATAAAAGTACCAATTTGGTACCAAAAGAATAAAATTTTAAAAAATAGATTAACATTTAAAGTTAATTTTTCCTCTGTCCTCCCATTAATTGGTTCAGGGCCTGACATATGGTGGTCTCCATGGGCCTAGCTCTGGCATTTTCTGACTTGGAGGGCTGATCCCCTGACCCCACCTCTCCAACCCTGCGTCATCTGGAGTGTGAGGTGGGAAGATGAGGGTTCACGCCAGCAGCCTCTGTCCCCGTTTCCCAGACATGCTCACGATGCTAAAGGCCAGGTGCCTGCTGGCCCTACAGGATATCTGCGCAGATTTCCTCCACTGAGATGCTAGCAAGTGGCAGTCTCCATAACTCGCCTGTTGTCCCTGCAGGAACGCTCTGCTCCCTGGGCCTGCAGTGGGCCCCCCGAGGGCAGGAAGGTGACTCCTGAGGGGTCCTTGGATCCTAAATGTGACCCTGCCCTCTGCCCCGTAGGATGCCGCGGGAACTGGGGAGAAGCTACGTTCACCTTTCCTTGCTCAGAAGAAACCGAGGTATCCCCCCGGAGCTGAGGAAGAACAGGTCTGGGTCCACAGAGAGACAGAACACTGAACGTCCCTGGGCGCAAGAGCGCTGCTTCTCCCAGGCTTGTCCACCCATGTGGCGGTGACGATGGCCCTTCAGCCACGTGTCAGATCCAAGGAGTCAGAAGCCCTGCTTTCCCCACCTGCACCAGCCTCGCCGCCCCTACACCCAGAATCCCACTCTGCGCCTCAGGCAGGGGACCGCCTCTCCAGCACTCTGCATTCCAACCCGGGCTCTGGATCTCAGCTCTCATCCTGCTTCCGAAAGGAGGACGTGGTCAGGGTTTGTCCTTTAGCTTTTGCTGTCTTTCTTCTCTATTTTGATATTATGGCATACTGTCCTTCGGAAAGAAAACCACATTTATTCATATACTACATTTTCAAAGAAAGTGCCATGGACCTTGAACTATTTTCAACATTAACGTAGGTAAATATAGAATATTTTAGTAATAGCTTTTTTTTAAAAAACTGAAGACAATATTTTAGAGTAGTTTTCGACTTACAGCAAAATGGAAGGAAAGGCCCAGAGATGTCCCACCTGCCCCTCCACCTAGCTGTCCACACCCATGCACAGCCTCCCCACCATCCACACCCCCCAGCAGATAGTGCATTTGTCGTAACTGTTCAGCCTAAACGGACACGTCACTGTCACCCAAAGTCCACGGTTGGCATTAGGGTTGACTGTTGCCGCCATGCGCTCTATGAGCTTTGACAACTGTATAATGGCATGTGTTCAAGACTATGGCGTCACATGGAGCCATTTAGTTGCCCCAAAGCATCCTCCGCGCTCCTCCTGTTGAGCCTTCCTTCTTCCCTCCAAACGCTGGCAACCACTGCATTTTACCACCTCCATGAGTTTTACCTTTTTCTCAACGTCACGTAGTTAGAATCAAATAATTTGTAGCCTTTTCAGACTGGCTTTTTTTATACCCTTGGAAATATAAATTTAAATTTCTTTCATGACTTTTCATGGTTTGATATCTCATTTCTTTATATTGATGAATAATACTCTATTACATGGATGTGCCAGCTTCTTCTTCACCTACTAAAGGGCACCTTGGTTGTTTCCAAGTTTTGGCAACTATCAATAGACCTGCTATAAACACTGTGTGGAGGTTTTGTGTGGACATAGCTTTTAATTCCTTTGGATAGATACCAAGGAAAGCAATTACTTTGGTTTTCAAATCTAGATTTCCTTGGTTAAGGAGACACTAATCATGGTCAGCTGAAATTTTGTTATTGTTACTTAGTTACTAAGTTGTGTCTGACTCTTTGAGATCCCATGGGTTGTAGCCCTCCCCTGCCTCCTTTGTCCACGGGATTTCACAGGCAAGAATATTGGAGTGGGTTGCCATTTCCTTCTCCAGTGGATCTTCCCTACCCAGGAATTGAATCCACATCTCTTGCATCTCTTGTATTGGCAAGCGAATTCTTTACAACTGAACTGAATAATGCCCCTCAAATATATCTGTGTCCTAATCTTCAGATGTGGTGTTGGAGAAGACTCTTGAGAGTCCCTTGGACTGCAAGGGGATCAAACCAGTCTATCCTAAAGGAAATCAGTCCTGAATATTCATTGGAAGGACTGATGCTGAAGCTGAAACTCCAATACTTTGGGACCTGATGCAAAGAGTTGACTCATTGGAAAAGACCCTGATGCTGGGAAAGATTTTTTTTTTTGATAGTGGAGTGCAGTTTATTACACTGGCAGGCCCAAGGCAGAGTCTCCTCTTAGCCAAGGACCCCAACCATATTTTGTGAAAATCTTTTATACCCCATGTGTACATGTCTGAACCCACCACCCCAAATTCCTTGAGGCTTACAAAGGAAGAGTAAATACAATCACAATAACTCCATCATTCACGTGTTATGTGTTCAAACAGTTAATAATCAATAAACCTGCGGTTACATTCCAACCAGTTAATAACCGATAAGCCTGTGGTTATTGAAGGCAGGAGGAGAAGGGGATGACAGAGGATGAGATGGTTGGATGGCATCACCGAGTCGATGGACATGAGTTTGAACACACTCTGAGAGTTGGTAATGAACACAGAAGCCTGGAATGCTGCAGTTTGTGGGGTTGCAAAGAGTCAGAAAACGACTGAGTAATGAACTGAACTGAATTCTCAGGACCAATCAGCATTACTTTAGGTAGCAAAAGGGACTTTGCAGATATGATTAGATTAAGTATCCTGAGGTCAGATTACACTGGATCCCCCGGTGGGCATGATATCATCTCAAGGGTCCATCAGAGAGGGCCAGGAGGATTTGAGTTGTTAGTAGGACAGGTGACAAGCAAGAGGTTGGAATGATTCAAGGAAGGGGCTGAGACTTTAGACGCAGATGGGTCTAGAGCTGGGAAAGGCACAGAAGGGATTCTCCACGAGCCTTCTGGAGTGCAGGCCTGATTTTAGACTTGATTTTAACTTCTGACCTCAGAACCGAAAAAATAACTCTGTTGCTTTCAGCCACTGAGTTTGTGGTCATTTGTCACAGCAGCAATGGAAATCTAATACCCCAGCAAGGAATGCACTCCTCCTGGGAACTTGCGTCTTCCATCCTCATGGGAACTCCAGCTATCCTTAATGGTCCTCTGCTGGCCTTCCCTTGACTCTAGTAAAACCCATGTGTTGTACTGGGAAGGTAGAGAGCGAACTCTGATCTCTGTGGATGGCACGAGCCAATACAAATCTTTTCTGAGGTTCAAAAGAGTGTGTTTTTCAGTCTTGATGGTTAAAAAAAAATGTGCACCTTTGTACTCACTGATTGGCTGCCCACTTACTGCTTTTGGTTGGGCTTAACCCCAGGAAAGTCTCTTGAGAAACGCCAATCACGTGACAGTGTCCAACTAGCAATATTTGGATAAATTCTGGGTAAGCAACCAGGGTTTTAGATGCCCTTCCAACCCAAACGTGGGAGCTGTGTGAAATTTACACATCGTTCCTCAGCGGTCTGCGGGATCTGCGGAGGTTGTGAAATGGGAACCAGGAGGGGCCTGGAGAGCAGCCCCAGTCATGACCCTGGGGCAGGGGAAATTGCTTAAAACCCCATCGTAAATATACCCTGCCCCTCTGATGCGGGGCCTTGCAGAGAGAACAGGGCCGAGCTGCTGGAGTATGTGCCTCGAGCAGCATTTTGTGTGTTTCTCAGCCAAGAGTGCACAAACCAGCGAGATAGGGGTGACCACGCACCCGCAATAAAACCCCCTTACAGTGCTTCTCACCACGGAGTCTCACTAGGTTCCCTGGTAAATTCTGAGTTCTGCCTGACTTTTAATCATCTACTTCCTGATTTCTAGGCCTCCTAGCCTTTGTGGAATGGTCCTTCTCATGAGATTTTTCAACCAAAGAGGTCTGGAAAGCCACCTAAATTGCATGAGGCTCACACATGTTCAATAGTGTCTTCTCTGTACTCAACTCCTCTTCAGTCATTCTGGGATGAAGCTTCTTCATCCCATGAATAGGATGAATGATCTTGGGGATTCCAGTCTGTTAGTAACAAACATCATTTTTGTACATCCCTACTTACATTTTGGGCTTCCCAGGAGGCTCAGTGGTAAAGAATCTGCTTCCTAATGCAGAAGTTGAAGGAGATGTGGGTTGGATCCCTGGGTGGAGAAGATCCGCTTGAGAAGGAGATGGCAACCCACTCCAGTATTCTTGCCTGGAGAATCTCATGGAGAGAGGACTCTGGCGGGCTACAGTCCATGGGGTCACAAAAGAGTCCGACATGATTTAGCAACTGGGCACATGCATGCACTTACATTTTGAGTTTTTGAAACAGCTTAAAGCTGTGCATTGCTTATATTTTTAAGTTTTTGATAAGCTGATTAGATTCAACAGTAGACAAAACATCAAATAATGGTAAAATTTATTTATGGGATGCACTTTATTTTTCTCTCTCTCTCTCATATACACACATACACATACATGCTCCCATGGAAGCATAGATAAGGCTCAGTGGCTTCAATTTACCTTTGAAACTTCATCTTTGACTCTCCAGAAATTGTATGAAATGTGGCAGGAGAAAAGTCAAAAGAAAAATGTGCTGAAAGTAAAGACTCAATTCTGATAAGTGCAGCTCCTTTTTGCACCATTCCGGCTGTTGGAAATGATTCGCTAACAGTCAGGTCACCTCTGTATATTTTAGATTTGCTTCAAAAGAACAGGAAAGAGGATCAAACCTCGGCTATAATTCTGAATCATCCTCGAAATCCTTGCTGCCAATTTAGCATAACATTAGAGACTTTTCCAACTGATGTGAAGTTATACAATAGAAATGCTCTGGGTTTCCTATGGGTTTCCAAAATAGCCATTTAGGAAGAACTGATCTCTGTTGTAATTCATCCAAAACTGGTACTTTGCTCTGTGTATTCCATGAGCAGGAAAGTATAAAGAGAATTAAGGGGCCACATGGTGGCCCGAGGAGAAAATTTCTACAACTTGGGGGCTACCATAAATGCCATGAAGTGCCTTAAAGCCTTTTAAAAGTAATCAGTCCACTAAAACACTGGAGAAAAGAATCAAGAAAGATAGTGAATCAGAAATCGGTAGGAATCTCTGAGAAGCAGAAAGAGATAAGAAGCAAAATGAGAAAAATCTTAGTCCACAGCCTGGGAAGGAGACCCCTGAGAATGGAAACTGTGGAAAACTTGGGGGCTTATCCTGGGGGCTCTGCCCCAGTGCAGCATTTGCAAAAGCCATGCTGATGGGACCATATTAAAGTTAGAGAGGGAAATGGAATACTCTCACTATGGGGATAGATGGGTATATTGCCATTCAGAGGGCTATCAGTAATTATTGCTGAGCTTTGTGAAGTCCCTACATACTATGCTTAGAATTTTAGAATATTTGTGTCTTCCTGGTATGTTGAACATTTATCAACATACAGTTCATCTCTCTTTGTTCTCCCTAATGTGTTTATATTAGTTTATTTCCTAGCGATCATTTTTCATTATTTTATTTTCTACTTTTTCATATTCTTATGTCTTAGACATGTCTCTTATAAAAGTATCAATATCTATATTTAAAAATTACTCTGATAATCTCTGTATTTTAATTCGGAATTTAAACCAAGAACACTTATTTTTATTACTGACATGTTCATGTTGTTTACAAAATTGTACATTTGTTTTCTATTTGTCTGACTTTATTTTTTGGGCTCTAGGATCACTGCAGATGGTCACTGCAGCCATGAAATTAAAAGACGCTTACTCCTTGGAGGAAAGCTTATGACCAACCTAGACAGCATATTAA